TATGTGTATATACGTATATACGTATGTGTATATACGTATATACGTATGTGTATATACGTATATACGTATGTGTATATACGTATATACGTATGTGTATATACGTATGTATATATGTATATACGTATGTATATGTGTATATATATATATACATGTATGTGACCGTGTGTACCTATATTCATATGACGGACGGGGCATCAAAAAGTTCATGGAAAAATTCTATTACCTTTCAATTCCATTGTTCCATGAACTTTTTGAAGCCCCTCATGTTTAATAAAGCACATAGAAAGCACAGTTGCAGGCCCTCTTAGATATAACCAAACATGGTGGGATTAGGTTTGAAGGAAGACCATGGTCTCATGGAATATTGTTCACAACGTCTGTGTTTTCTACTGGCTAGTTTGATGAGTAGGGTCTTAAAACATGTGATTGGCCGTCTCTGATACAACTATTGGTCTCTACTCATCCCAACAAAAGAGAAAGAAGGAAACCAAACACTCAAAGAAGTAACTAATTTACAGGACTAATAGTCTACATGGAACACAGCCGAATCTGGGACCAGAACTAGATGGTCCCCAGCTACCATTATGGACCAGGGTCACGACAGACCAACCCTGACAGAATGGGGAAAAATGCAACAATCTCAAATCCATTTCAAAACAAAAACTCGATTAGTTGAGACTGCAGGACTCCCCAAAACTGTTGCCCTGAGATCCTCCCTCTTCAAACCGTGAACCGAAACTTTCCCGAGATCCTCTTTTAGCTACCTGATGGATTCAAAAAAGACTAAGAACTATGCTCCCTGAGAAAATCTGCTTTAGGAGACCACAGTCAACAGTTACTTTGAAACAAATATTAAACTATAGCAGGGAAACTAGGTTAGTGGAAACAGAAAAACCAGAATGGAAATTTGAAACTGTACATGAATTGTGAAGAATATTCCCAGTGTCACTGAACAATTTGTGTAGAAATTGTTGAAAGGGAACCTTAACTGCTGTATAAAATGTCACCAAAAACATGATTTTAAAAACACATAAAAAGCCAACTAACCAGATGCTGTTGAGTTGACTCCAGTTATGGTGCCCTGTGTGTGTCAGAACTGTGCTCACCTCAGTGGATGAATTTTCATAAGTAGATTCCACTCATGGCGCCCCTGTGTGTGTTAGAGTAGAACTGTGCTCACAGGGTTCTCAGTGGATGAGTTTTCATAAGTAGATCCCACTCATGGTGCCCCATGTGTGTCAGAGCAGAACTGTGCTCGTGGAGGTTCTCAGTGGATGCATTTTCATAAGTAGATCCCACTCATGGTGCCCCATGTGTGTCAGAGTAGAACTGTGCTCACAGGGTTCTCAGTGGATGAATTTTCATAAGTAGATCCCACATGGTTCCCCGTGTGTGTCAGAGCATAACTGTGCTCACAGGGTTCTCAGTGGATGAGTTTTCATAAGTAGATTCCACTCATGGCGCCCCCGTGTGGTCAGAGCAGAACTGTGCTCACAGGGTTCTCAGTGACTGAGTTCTCAGCAGTAGGTCACAAGGCCTTTCTTTCAAGGCACCTCTGGATGGACTAGACCCTCCAACCTTTCGGTTAGCAGCCGAACATATTAACTATTTGCACCTTTGGATACAGGCCAGACTGAGCCATGAAGAGTGCGGTGGGGGGAGGAGAATGTCCATGTATCACTGAAGCCAACATTATAGGAGAAGCCTGAAGACTCTCCAACCTTCCTGCCCCTTCCACCTATAACAACAGACCCTGTAAGGGCTCTTGTAGAGAAAGCCATGTGGCTGTTGCTTCTAGGAACAAGTCAAGAAGCAGGTTGCCTTGGGGCCTGTGGTATGATTTTGACCCTCACTGCTCTGTGTGCCTTATCCCCACAGCACTAAAACATATGGGATAATAGAACCCAAGCAACAGAAACCAGACCAGTAAGCAGCCTCCCTCTTCCCCCTCCTCCATGTGTTCATTCAGTGGGTCTCTGCTTTGTAATGCCTCAGTCAGCAACCACAGGAAGACATCTCCTGCCCTAACACCCACCACCTCTCTCCTCAGTGATGACTACAAGAAAGCTTGTGAGCGCTGCCAGGAACATCCCACATGCATTAACCTCCCTGTACCTTTCCCGTTTCGGGGAGCCCCTTCACCTTCCACAGGGGATTCCCAGTTTTACTTCCGCACCTGCCTTAATGGCCAGTTTAGCAAAGAGCTGAAAAGCCCACAGTGTGTCTCGCTCTCTGCTTGGCAGTCACATTGTGAACACGTGTCTTGTTACAGATAGAGCCAAGTGAGGATGAGTGGGGCGTGCCCAACTGTCTGACCCTTCGGGGCCAGCGCCAGTCCATCATCGTGGCAGCCAGGTAAGCAGGAAACTGACCACTGTCTTCCCTGTTGACCAGTGTTTTTGCTGTGGTTTGAAAACCTAATAACCATTTCTATCCCCAGTTCTCGGTCAGAAATGGAAAAGTGGGTTGAAGACATCCAGATGGCCATTGATTTGGCGGAAAAAAGCAGTGGGCCCACCCCGGAATTACTGGCCAGCAGCCCCCCTGACAATAGTGAGTGTTAGGGCCCCCCCCCCGAGCAGAAAAGCGAGGGGCTCTGTGCAATTCACAAGCCCAGGGCCTCAAGTAATGATCCATGGAGGGTCAGGGGATACTCCTGGCTTTGCAGAGGAAAGCATCACTTTATTCTTGAGGTCTACATTTCTGTATCAAGTTAAAATCAAAGAACTTCCTTTTTCTAAACTTCAGACAGCGGAGTGAGACATCTTTGCCTGGCAACAGGACACCTGTAATACTGGATGTTGCCGCTGGGGGCGCGGTGTGGGGTCCCAGGGCGCGGAGGAGTTCGGGGCATTGGAACTGAGGCCATGACCGCCAAGGCGTCACGGTAGCCCCAAGGCTGGGCCTCTTTAGTTCGCCTCCCGCCCTCTGGTCCCCAGGGGTTCTGGAGCAGGAAGTAAAAGCGCTGTGGTGCCTGCCTTCTGCAGAGTCCCCCGAGGAAGGCACAGCCGCCGACCAGGAGTCTGAGGACGACCTCAGCGCGTCGCGCACATCACTGGAGCGCCAGGCTCCGCACCGCGGCAACACCATGGTGCATGTATGCTGGCATCGCAACACCAGCGTCTCCATGGTGGACTTCAGCATCGCTGTGGAGGTACTGCGGGGCTGGCGGGAGGATGAGCGCTGCCCCAGGCTCCAGGCAGCTTGGCATTGGGCTCCTGAGCCTGCTGGAGCTACAGAACAAAGAGGGGTCCAGCCCCCTGCTGGCATGTTGTGGTTAGCCATTCAGGTCCCCTGTTCAAGGCATAGTGGCTCCTGGTTGTTTTTGGATGAGTCCAGTGAGTCACCTTCAACTCACGGTGACCCCCAGTGTGTCAGAGTAGTACTGCGTTTCATAGGGTCTCAATGGCTGATTTTTGGAAAGTAGATCAAAATTGATCACCAGCCTTTTCTTCTGAGGTGCTTCTGTGGGCTGGAACCTCCAGCCTTTTCTGTTTTTATTTATTCTTCTTTTCCCTAATGCAGCTAGTTGTTAGAGCAGAAAACTCTTCTCCTAGAGTTCAGAGCTCCACCCTGAGAGGCTCAGAAACATACATTGCTGTTGGGTCAGTTGGGACTCCTAGCTGTGGTTTTTATGCAAGCAGCCTGCCCTGTCTTTCTCCCACTGACTGTACAATGGGTTGAAACTACCTTTCAGTTACCATCTAAGTGCTAAAACCCCAGGGCCACCCGAGCTCCCTGGAGGCTTGGACAAGTGGTCCCAAATGCAGGGCAAATGGGCAACTCGCATCCCTGTAATCCAGTTGACATTTCTGGGCCTACAAGTGAGCTGTTGTTTTTCAGGGGCAATAATGCAGATTGACTGCTACCCAACAAGGCTAGTTAGTTAGTCTGTTGCTCCGTAAAAGTGTCTCTCTGCTAGGACACCCTGACCCCAAGGGACCCTGGCTTTAAGATGGTGGCACAGGGGCCTTTCTGGTACCTATTGCCAATATGCTCCACAGCTAGCACCCTTTCTTCTTGACACAATGTGTTTCTGTCTTAGATGACTAGTGCCACCAGCCACCCACAGAAACCCTATACAGAGCAGCTATGAGTAGGAAACAACTTCATTTAACAGAACCAGTAGGAATGAGTGACGGGGATGTTTGTGACAAGCCTGTGGGAAATGGGGCTCCCATTAGATGTGGACAGTGTGAAGTTACGACAGCCCGTGTCTGTCCAGCTCTCCTCAGGACAGCTGAGGGCACTGGAGGGCTCAGCAGGGATTGACACTCTGTGCTTCTTGTGAACTCACAAGGTGGCCTCGGGTACACCACTGCCCAGCTCCACAGTGGACCTGAGGAGCCCACTGGAGCTACACCAAGCTGCATGGCCAGCCGGACCTATTTCTACTGTCTTGGGTAGACGTGCCTTCTGTGTACATGAAAGCATCCTTCTTTCTGAAAGCCAGGCAGTGTGAGGGGGCTCAGTCCTGTCCTGGGCTCACTAGATGGCAGTCTAGAGCTAAGAACACTGGACTCAAAAGAACCAAGCTGCTCACTGTGGTGGAGAGGTTGGGAAGAATTAACTCAATTGTTAAGTGCTGTTGTCAGTTCCAATCCATAGCAACCCCATAGAGGGTTTCCAAGGGGCGGCTGGTGAGCTTGAACCACCGACCGTTTAACAGCTTTGCGTTAAACCACAGCATCATACCAGGACTCATGCAATCACCAAGGGGGTCTCCTGACTCCAATGAAAACAGAGGCTTTTCTTAAACCACGGACGGACCTTAATCCCATGGCACCTAGCGGCGCACACCAGGAGCCCAGTGCCACTTTTGGAGATAAAGCTGCCCTTTCCCTGGGGCATGGTGGTACCCCCAATTTGCATGCACTTTTGGGGTTATGTCCCTGTCTGTGGGTCTTACAGGATTCTCTCTGTTTCAGAATCAGTTATCTGGGAATCTGCTGAGGAAATTCAAAAACAGCAATGGCTGGCAGAAGCTATGGGTGGTCTTCACTAACTTCTGCCTCTTCTTCTACAAATCGCACCAGGTGAGTGTCGCCCCCTCCTCCTGCTGGCCTCTCATGGCGCAGCAGGCCAGGCCTGTCCACCAGAGACCCTGAGTTCCCAAAGGCCTCTTCAGCTTTGACAGTAGCCCCGTCTACGGGCTGGACAAGAGAAACGGGAGTCACTGAGTTTGATGGCTCATCTCTCCGAGCCACCTTCTTCTGTTCACCCCCCAGGACAATCATCCCCTTGCCAGCCTGCCTCTGCTGGGGTATTCACTCACCATTCCCTCCGAATCTGAGAACATCCACAAAGACTACGTGTTCAAGCTGCACTTCAAGTCCCACGTGTACTACTTCAGGGCTGAAAGTGAATACACATTTGAAAGGTAGGCATTCGCCTCTCCCATGCACACAAGGACCCCTGGCGTCTGCCGGCATCTGCGCTCTTCCTGTGAGCTCTGCACTGCTCAGCACAGCAACTAGAGGATGAAATTCCTCTTTCCCCCTAGAAGCAAATGCAGGGGTTTCCTTAGGAATAATGTCCATTATCACCACAGTCAAATCTCTAACTTGTGAGTATGAGGTTATTGCTCTGATACCTGTCGACACCATGTGACAGAGGAGAACCACACCACATAGTGTTTTGGATACCGTAACCTATCTTGCTGTGCCTCTATGGGTTAATGCGCTGGACGGTGTGAACTACACCAGGTCAGCGGTTCAAGCTCACCAGCCGCTCCTTGGAAACCTTAACAGGGTCGCTGAGTTAGAACTGACTCGATGGCATTTAACAACAACTTATTAGCAATGCTTGCTCTCGGCCAAGGTAGATAAAGGCAGGCCAGTAAAGGTCTTTGTGGTAGCTGCTGCTGTATTTATTACACACCAAAACTTGCTTCACCATGCACCATTAAGGTCGGCAGTTTTAACTCCCCAGTAGCTCTGCAAGGGAAAGATGTGATAATGTTTCCCTAAGTATGTGTTAAGTACAGGCCAGAGAATTAATCCACAGCACCACCCCAGGACTCCAACATTGTTCATAGCAAGAACACAATAAAAACCTTCGATTCTTCCAGCTGTAGTTACAGTTACCATGTTCCTGATGGGACTATGGTGCATGGCAGGGGAAAAACTAATGCTTCCTAGTGCTATCTGAATTAGACTACTGCATGGTATCCGGGTAGTACAGTGGGTGGAATTGTGCGCAGTTCAAATCTGCTCCCATAAAGATTTATAGCCTGGGGAACCCTATACAGAGGCACCATGAGGCATGACACACAGCCACTGCCCCCACCCTATGTGGGGTGTCATGAGAAATAAACGCAAAATCAAGATTAACACCAGACTTGAGTCTGTTCCCCTAGACACGGCCCCTTTCACAGCTGATGTGGATGTCTAATCCTTTAACAGGCTACAAAAGCAGTTGTCATGAGAAACCACCACTTTAGAGGGAACCTCTGGGTTACCAACCAGACAGTAGCCCATGTTTAGGAAGAAATTTCTCCCCTGATGTCGGATGGGACACTAACTTGTTTCCTTACTACGCATGGACACTGAACTCCAAAGGATTCCCAAGTGGGTGGGCGAGTTATTACCTCAACACGACCCTATTTACTAAAACACCCACCCATGAGAGTCAAACTAAGCACTTTGTCAGTAAGCGCTACGCTGAGCCCAGGGGCTGGTGGTGGTTAAGTGCCGCTGGTCTGTTCTGACTCATAGCGACAGCACAGGCTTTCCGAGGAGCAGCTGGTAGGTTTAAAGATCTGGCCTTGGGGCTCACAGTCCAGTGTTGGTCCTACAATGTCAGTGTCAAATTTGATCTTGGACGGAAAAACTATAGATGTGATTCAACTTCATTTGTCATTATATTACTAAAAGAGGTGTTTTTTTTTTTTAACCTTGGGGGTGTGGTAAGAGCCCAAGACAGACTTATGACTAGGATTTCGAAATATAAGTAATTCTTCTGCCATGCATTACGCATGATAGACACCCAGGTTGAGAACCCAGCCAGCCTCAGCACTGGAGTTTTTGCCCTGCTAGATGGTATACCAGGAAGTAACCTAGCATGTTGTCTGTGATTACCAGATGCAGGGGGCTTGTAACAAGGTGTGCAAAGTTTTCATGCCACTTTCTTGTGTTTCAGGTGGATGGAGGTGATCCGAAGTGCCACCAGCTCCGCCTCACGCTCCCACATTTTTAGTCACAAAGAATCTCATGGGTATTGATGGCTGCACATGCTTGTTGCAGCCCGTTTCCAAAAGACCTTTATTTCCTTGTGTATTACTGAAGCCTAGTAAAATTAACACCTGTCTGGAAAAACACAAACGCGGTTTTACTACAACTCACCTGTCCTCTGCAGAACCAGTTTTTAACTTTCTCTTTTCCTCTGCTGATTTCTCATCTGAACGGTAGTGCTCTCACCTCCAGTCCTGGATGCCGTTCTATATGTCGTTCTCTTGGTGGGCTGTGGTTTGTTTTGTTTTTTAGCTTGTGCCAGTATTAAAACATTGTCATTACTATAGTGCCAAATGACATTTTCCTCTCCACAACTGCACCTTAAAAGCAGTACAAACATATTCGTTCAACAAAATAGGGCAAGTGCTCTTCCCTTTCTTACAAAAGAAAAACTTTGATTATTTTGATCTATATAGGCCGTTTGCATTTTAAAAATGGAAATGCATTTTCCAGTGTTTGCAATACATGAGACTGTCTTAAGCAAATGAGATCATTTTCGGATTTCGTTTTTTTTCACTCTTTCTAACTTTTATAATGATATAGATTACTACGGCTGCCTTCTTAGAGGTGAATCAGCATTTTGCAGCACACAACGCTCCATGTAGGGGTTTCGTGTTCCAACGAACCCTTCTTCTCAGACCTACTTCTTGGCGCAAGTCCACCAAATTGTTTTCAGTGATTTACTATTTACAAAACGTAGCGGGCTTGTTTTCTGTTAACAGAGAAGCAGGAATCCAGTGCGCTAAGACCCTGGCTGTCACTGTACTGTGTTGTATCCGATGGGACGATAGTAAGCCGTGGTGTTCTGCTGTTTTGTTTCACAAGCATGAGAAAAATCTGTGTCAATAATCAGGGCCATTTGTGAAGTTACATTATGGAGAATTTTTGTGAGTTTATGTGGATGCAGAAACATTATCAATTAATGGTACGTAGCCCCCCCAGGGTCCTGTCATTGTATCTATAGCCTACCCGACTGTGGTTTGAAACGGCGCATTTGTGATAGTATATATATATTGTGCCTGTCTTCAAAAATCAAGCTTCTCTTTTTATAACTCATTTCTTCCCAGGCACAGGGTCTCGACAGTATGATATTGCACAACCTTGGAAACACCGGGAACTTGGTTTCCAACAAGTGCTTGGGCCCACTAGTCAAAAAACGTTTGCCTGTTCTCTTTGGTGATCGGGGTAGCTGCTATTCCCTTATTACTGAAGGTCCTATTTCTAAAGCAAGTCTAACAAAACCCAGAGGAGGAACATCAAAGTTCTACACCACAGCTGGGAAAAACCTGATTCGGACACATGCAGGGGTAAAGACACACTTTGGGGAGCTGTGACCAGTATACGTGGGAACGGCAACGTGTAGCTTGAGACTTGTTAATCATTTGCCTTACAATACGTGCCAGATGGCTTTAAGTACTAACAAAAGGGAATAAAAATACCTCACGCCACAATCCAGCATATTGAAGTTTTAAGGCAAAACAACCAACCTTGTCTCTTGTCTTTATTGTCATCAAGTGTGTGTGTCACGGGTCACCTTGCTGCTGCAGGTCAGGGAAAAGTGTTGGCTGTTCACATCAGGGCAGAGCAACAGAGACAGAACAGATTCAACCACTTACCAGGACAAAGAACATTTCAGGGAGAGCTTACTTGATAAGGTCTGCTTTCTTCAACTTGGCTGCTTTTGGGAAAGGAAAGTCACTTCTAAAAGGCAAATGAGAATTAGCTAATTAAGGCCAGTGGGGTCCCAATGTGGCACTGTAGGATAAGCACTGGACCACACTGTGCAATTGGAACTGCAGGGTCAGCAGTTCAAATCCACCAGCCACTCTTTGGAAACTCTATATCGGGTGGTTATAAGTGGGAATTGACTCAACAGCAGTAAACAAAGGCAGATGACATGCGTGAAGGAGAGGGGACAGGTGGCATTTCTAAGGGACAGCCCTGGAAACACGTAGTAGACTGAGGTTTTCCACCATCCCCTGGGCAGGATGCTAACACCCCGGGCAGAGGCTAGCGGCAGCGATGGTGTCAGGAAGCTTCTCCCTCTAGGCATTGGCCTGTCCCTAACTTCTGACTGACTTTGGGATAAGGCAATGCCCAATCACAGTAGTCCTGAAAGATTCTGTCCCAGACACTAGAAGTTCCACGTGGGCTTGGGAACTATTTCTCTGCCTGCAACATCTAAGAACTAGACACTTTCACTTCAGCTCCAGTGATTTGCATCATCTGGACTTCAACATGTCTTGGACCCACCTAACTTGAGGTTGAATCTGGGTTCTCCGGAATTGCCGTAACAGAAAAACAAATGAGTGGCTGCCAAGGGCGTTTTCTCTGTGTTCAGGAGGCTGGAAGGCTGAAGTCACGTGTGACTTTAAGTACCGTGGAGTCGGTTCCGACTCGAACCTGCACAGGGGTTCTGCGAGGCTATAAATCTTTATGGGAGCAGAATGCCTCATCTTTCTTCCGCGGTTTACTTGTCCTTATTTCTAGGAGTTACCCTATTGTTCTTTGAGTGTACACCTCACCTGTGTAGGTTTTTCTGTCCTTCCAGTCTTTTACAATTCAGAAGCGATGTGGTTTAGGATCTACCCTACCTAGTTAAGTGTCGCTGAGCTGGTTCCAACTCATAGTGACTCTGTGTAGGGTTTCCAAAGAGCAGCTGTTGAGTTTGAACTGTTGACTTTGCAGTTGATAATTTGTCGCTTATCCTACAGAGCCACACCAGGACTTCTACACACTGGTAGTGGTGGTGACAAGTCGGTTCTGACTCATAGCAGGACCTCATTAAGCTAACCAAGTAACACCCCGACTTCCATTCAAGGTCATGTTTACAGGTAACAAATCAAAGCAAACCCACCATCGCATTCACACTGAAGCTATACACGGGACAGAGGAGAATTAGCCACCAGGTTTCCAAAGCTGTATGTCTACAGAAAAAGCATGCTGCCACAGAGCAGCTGATGGATTAGAAGTGCTCACCTTTCATATAGCCAAGTGCTTGAACCAGGGCTGGTTACAGGTACAGGGGTTTGGATTTCAACACGTTAGGGTACCACTATTCAATCTAGAGCAATAGATATGTACACATCACCTTATCCCTTATGAACACACAGAAAAACTAAGTGATAATATGGGCAACTTAGAACCTACACATGACACAAGATGACAGAAATCGTCATTTTTCTTTGAACTTTATTGACCTGTGCTTGAGAAGCCCCCTGTAACATTCTCCCTGTGTTGTAGCAGAAATACAGAAGCTGTATTTTTTTTTTTTTAAAGGAAATAAAAAATGCTTATAAACTGACCATACATTTTACCAAAACAAAGATACAAAACTACATCAAAAACTGGATTGGACATGTCACAAGACCAACTCAAGAACAGGTTACAAAGCTGTTGGGTCCAGAAGAGGGAAGGAGCTTTATTCGGTCCAAGAAACGAGAACAGCCCACATGAACTACAGCCTCTTCTAACCCGAGACCAGAACTAGATGGTGCCTAAGTAACCACTGACTACAGACCACTCTGACCAGGTACACAACAGAAGGTCCCAAGGGAGACAAATGTAGAGTAAAACTCAAATTTCTTTTAAAAAAAAAAAAGCCAGACCACCTTTGGACCGGTTTGAGTCTAGAGCAGGGATGGGGAACTTTTTTTTTCTGCCAAAACTTGTAACATCATTCACAGGCCATACAAACTGATTCGTTTTAAAATTAGCCTGCTCCATTTGGTCAAATGTTGAATTAACAAGCATGGCAACAGTAGTGAGGTTGGCCCATGATTGGGCAGTGTTTCGTTCTGTTGTGCACAGGGTCGCTATGAGTCGGTACCGACTCGATGGCACCTAACAACAACAAATGTGATGGCTAAGGAGCTCTGGTAGCATAGTGGTTATGAGTCAGGCTGCTAACCTCAAGGTCAGCAGTTTGAAACTACCAGCTGTTCCGCGGGAGAAAGATGAGGCTTTCTGCTCCTGTAAAGATTTACAGCCTTGGAAACCCTGTACAGGGTTGCTATGAGTCAGAACCGACTCCATGGCACATAACCACCAATGTGATGGCTAGAACTGTCGTTGCCTTGGCAGGACCAGACCGGATTGTGATGCTGTGAGTTAATGTGCTGGACTGCAAGGTTGGTTTGAACTGCAAGGTCAGGGGTTCAAGCTCACCAGCTGCTCCTTGGAAACCCTATACAGGGTTACTATGGGTTGGGACCAACAACGACACTTAACACCAACAACATACCCCCAAGAACACCTCCCTAAGATACCCTTTGTATAGAGAAGAGGTCATCTTTTAAAATCTAGTCAAATGGCTTCCTCAGAGAGCTTGAGCTACAGGTGTTCCAATGAGTACTCGTAGGAGAGTCAGCTGGTGCTGATCACTCATGATGGAACTGTGCATTACGGTTGTATACTGACAGCACAGTACCTAGTAAGGAGCCACTCCCAAACCAAAGGGCTTGTGCAGAATCCAGCCTCCGGATCAGCATCACCAGAGCCGCTCACTCTGAAGACTGGCTTCACAGTCCAAAGGTCTCTTTGGAACCGTGGTCTGTAAAACATACACCTGCCTTTCCCAAAGCCAGACGAGCAGGGTATCTTGGCCATCACTGATTCACTTCTCTGAGTGATCCCTTCTCCTGCAATGGGCAAAACCTGATCGTTGCTTTATGCCTCCATAGAGGGAGCTGTTTCTCCCGTATAGACTACACTTTGGGAACACTCCAAGATAATATGTACAGTTCAGTATTAGCATCCGGTCTAGAAATGAACCGTTAGACCCAAATCTACTTCTAATACCAAAGCATGATTTAATTTTACAGTTTAACAGCTACAGTCCATTCAGCCACCTAGCTGATAATCAGGCAGCTTCATCGTTTCTGGCTCAGGCCTCTGCCCTCTCCCTGTAACTTTAACAGCCTGTGAGCCCAGCACAGACTTCTCTCCCATCTGGAAGTTTCCATAAAATCCTTTGTCTTCCCTCCTCAAGAACAGGCACTCCAACAATAAAGAGATGACAGTATCTAGTGTCAGTAAATACTAAACAATGCCAGATTTAAATCAGGCAGCCAAGAACAGCTGCAAGAACTCTAGTCTCTAACCCCAGAAACCAAGATTATTCTCAGGTTAGGAGCGTCCTACCATCAAGCCATGGAAAATACAGCCACCACCCTGGCTGACGACTGTATGGACAAGGGCTTCTTAAAAGAATCTGTCATCGAGGTCCCTGGGAAGATAGAGAGCAATTTTTAGACATCAGTAACATTCAACCACATCTTCTCAAAGATCAGCCACATCTTAATAAGTTGCATAGGAAACTGGCTTGGATATTCAACCTTTGAATCTGAGCACTTTTTCATTTAGTCTTCTGACGTGTCTCTCTCTCTCACACACACACACACTCACACACACACACACACAGAGAACAGCTCTACAGGTGCATGTTCCTGGTTAAGAGTCACGTGTCAAGGAGAGTATGCAAAATAAGTGTGTTATAAAATTTATTGGTGGAAGCATTCAGACAGTTTTCGGTGGGAAGGGCGATACGCAGATTCCACTACAAGGGTCAACAGAAGACAATACTGAAAAGGACGGGGGCATCGGGCGCAGGGTCGGCACGGACACAATTCAGAAACAAATGCTAAGCGAGAGCGCTTCTTCAGGGAGAGGCTTAATAATTTAAAGTTTTGTGAGGCAAGATATGTTCCAATTTAAAACACTAAGAAATAGTACCATCAATGAAAATAAGGAAATCAATTTCTAAGTGTACCAAAAGGGATATAGGGCAAATGAGGAAAATTTGCATTTGTGGAGGACCAAAGAGGAGATTTCCATATGAGGGGCATTAATTATTATCAATGGCAAACCCTGCAAATAACAAAATAAAACCCAAATCACTGGTCACATAATTCAAAATTTACATGTTTAATAAAGGCAAGGCAATAGACTCACGTTATGGCCTGGTCAAATATTTACTCCACGGACAGTATCTACAGAAGCACTTGGGCAGTTTGTACACAGTGATTCTCGATGCACGCCAAAAGGATTTCCGTAAAAATGACACTATATACAACTCTACACCGGTCCACCAGAGCGATTCTCCATCTCCCGGGGGAGGGGGGGCGTTATCAACTCAACGCAGTGTACCTGAGGTTTCATTTCTTCAGTTGCCTGATCATAATTCCAAATATACATTTCAGGGTTGGTTTCTGTTTTTAAAGACACTTTCCTTGAATATGTGCACTATGGTTAAAATTTTAAAAAAACACAACAAAACAAAATGATGACTTGCAGGAGCCGGCCCTCTGCCCCATACGAGAGACTTCATCTTGCTGCGGCACGGCGAGGAATGTATGTATCCCTGGACCAGTGCCCATGGCTTCAGGGCAACACCCCGCAATCGCATGGCTCTTCAGCAGGGTCGGTGAAGGGCTCTCACTGACTTCTTTAAAAAAAAGGAGGATGAGGAAGAAGGAAAAAAAAAAAAAGGGAGGGGGGGGGCAGAAAAACCCAAAATGCCAAAGACGTGTTTCAGTGGGATGAGGATCCTCCGCCGCTGAGAGAGTATCTGGGGAAAGAGCAAACAAGAGCTAAGTGAAATGTCATGGCTCCCAGCCCACCACCTATGCCAGTCAACAACTGAATCAACAGGGTCAAAGGACTTTACGACAGTCCTTATAGAAACCCCAAGTCACCCACAAGGAGTGGGCTACATATCAATGGAGCGACAGAGCTACTCCACAGGTGATTCATAAGACAATCATGATTCCCCCACAAAGTTTCCAGAGCTTAAATTCATAAAAGAACGCGAGAATGTGCTCAGATTCTATACATGTGACCACAATAGTCAGGAGGTGCTCCTTGATTTCTACTCCATTTGGAAATGGAAAGCTCTCTAGGGCTCAGTGACATAATCAGGTTCCAGAGATGCACATGCGCTGCTGCTGCTGCTGGGAGTGTGAATGAGGGAAACCCTTTCTGGAAATGAAACTATTTACACTTGTCTAAATAAATCCACTTCCTAGAATTGTGTTGGCGATGGCATTTTGAAGCAGGAACGGCGCGCACTGGCACACGCAGGTCTGCCAGGGTTTCTGTATTGTAACAAATTGGGAATAACTCCGAAGTCCAACCGAAGAGAAATGGTTAAAATGAATGATAAACAGAATGAAAAATGTAGAGGTTAAAGAGCAATTTCCTAGATTTTAAACAATATGAAAATTATACACAAGTTAATGATAAGTCTACACAAAATTGCACGTACACCAGGATCTGAGGCTACATAAAGAAAAGGGAACGAGTGTATGATGAACACAGATGAGCGGAAGGACATGCGCCAAAAAAGAAAAACGGGGACAATAAAAACTGGAGCACAGTGGCAGGATCGTGGCTGGTTTCTTATTGTCCAACAATGGGACGCCCCCCAGAGGCCAACAAATCCCATTAGTCACTTCCAAAAACCTGACTGAAGTCCTAGGACAAGGAGGTGGATGAGGACACAAAAGATGGGGCTCATCTCAAACACTCTAGATAGAGCTCTTTTATAGGATTTTAAATCCCTAGGGGGGGGCAAAATTACATAAGATCCTCTTGAAAAACACATTTTTAGCCAGTCCTAAGACTCAAATGTCATGACTATTTACAGGGTCTTTATGAGTCAGAACTAACTCAATGGCACTTTACAGCAACATAAATGAGTAAGTCATGAGAGCAGTTGGTGTTATATGTGAATTCAAACGAAGGTAAGTTGATACTCAGTTTTTTTTCTAATGTAATTACTAGTGAGTATAAGAACAAGATCGTTAAGTGTGAAATGTGGCTGCTATGGTTTGGTTCCTATCTGTGGCGGAGCCTCAGCCACAAAAAAAAGGACCCTGTCTCCCAGCATCTGATGAGGAGGCAAGAGGTGCACACATCCCAAAGGAGAGAAAAAGAGGAGAAAGAATAATGCAGACTTAGTATTTCCACTTTGGGACTTGAAAGCAAAACAGACATCAGAAAGGTATCTATCTGCACTGCCCGACGTGGTAACACTGGCTACAAAGGACTGCTGAGCATCTGGTGGGCGAATTGCTCAGTGCAAAATAAACACCAGTTTTTAAAGGCTTTATGCAAAATTAACACAACCTATTAAATAAACTTTATGTTGATTACATGCTGAAATTTAACATTTGGGACGTATTAAGTGAAAACATCAGGAAAACTATTTCCAACTGTTTTTACTTATGTGCCTGTGGTCATTTAAAATGCTACCTGTATTTGAACTGGACAGCAGCTACAGCAAGAAGGACAAGGGGTATGGGGACTAACCTGGGAAACATGAAAAATATCGTGTGTGCAAGTGACAGTCTGTGTCCTCACACTGAGGCAGCTATGTGAATCATTCATAACATTTTCAAGTCATTCTGGACAATATGGAAATACCAGAGTCCTGAAAGTAATGCTCCAAAAAAATTAAGAAAAAATTCCCACAAAATGGCAGACTAGGAAGACACCTGACGCAGATGAGCAGCCCAATGAAACAGATACAGGTGCTAATCCTGGAACCTGAGCTTCAGAGGGAAGGACAGCAAAAAAGGAGGCTGCTAGATGAAGTGTCAACCGGCTTGAGTTGGCGCTACCATCTTGAATGCAAACAAGATGTTGGCAATGAGAAAAGTTCGATTCTCTCCTGTTCCCCACCATCCCCTGGTGACCACAGCACAGCCCCTGCTCTGCTAGAGAGAGGTCTGAGTCACACCAGTGAGTTGGTTGCTGGGCGTAGCAGTGCAGTGCCTGGAGGAGGGCGAACCCTGCTTCTTCAGAGCTTCAGTGCCAAGACTGCGAGACCCTAGACTAGCAGGAACTCTCAGACCCAGCTACCGTGCCCTATCTGGGCCCGAGAGGGTTCCTTTTGGGAACAATGAACCTGAACCTGGTGCCTCAGCCACCTTTAGGGCCTGTAGGAACTACTTCCGGGTCAGGTGTGCTCATCACAGAAAGCACTAGGCCTACAAGAACTCCATCTGGGGCTGGACAGGCACCCCACCGTCTCTCTCATTCCTCCCTCCCTTCCCACCTTGTGAGCCACTTGGCTAGCAGGAACCCCTATGGTTTTCTGACCTACTTTTTTCCCTTTTGTTGTTGCGGTTTTTTAAATCTTTTTTTTTTTTCTTCCTTCAACTTTCCTTGCCTTGTTTTTCTTCGTTCTTTTTCAACTTTCGTTTATTCTTCTGGTTCTCTTTTCTCCTCTCCTTTTCTTTTCCTTCTTGATTTTTGTCTGCTATTCTCCTTTTTCTCTCTTCTTCCCTTTGCCTAGTTTTGTCGGCCTTTTCTTTTTCTCTTTTGCTATTTTAGTTTCCTTTTTTCTTCTTTTTAGTTATTACATTCTTTTTTCTTGTTGTTGTCTATTGCGCACCCTCCCCCACCATTTCATTTTTTGCCTACTGTATGTATGTGTATCTCTAATTTTATGTTTTTCTTGCCCCACCTAACAGGGGAGGAGCCACCAACCACGCTCATACAGCCTTTGCCGCCCCACCCCTGGGGCAAGACCCACTACCAACTTTCCCACTACCTGATCACCAATAAACAGCAGCCAAACCTGCTCTGAACTGCACAGCAAACAGCAAACAGAGAAATGTAAACCAAGCTAACCAGCAATCAAAACCAACGAGTGGCAATATTAATTTCTGATAAAACAGGCTTTAAGGTCAAAACCAGCATGAAGGGCAAAAGAAGGACATTACTGAATGATACAAAGATCAATTGAACAAGAGGATATAACTACAGTAAACATCTGTCCCCAGTGAAAGAGCTTTAAAAAACATAAACCAAAACTCTAACAGAATTTAAGAAAGAAACAGACAAGTTTACAACAGAAGACTGTAATTCACCACTTTTGATGAAAGACAGACAACTAGAAAGAAAACAAAGGCACAAGAACTAAAGAACACAGTTCTTTACTTACACTCTGCATAAGTCTCTGAAGCCAACAACAAAGTTGACTTCAAAGACTTATACAAAGCACACAATCTAACAATAGCACAATATATACTATTTTCCAGTGTACCTGGAACAGTCTCCTGAAGAAGCTACTATATATTTGGCCACAAAGCAAGCCTCATTAAATTCAAAACAATGAAATACTTATACTACAAAGGAGCTCCTCAGATCACAAAGGAAAAAAATCAAATATGTGAAAACTGAATTAACACTCTACATAAAAACTACTGGTAATAGAAGAAACTTAAAAATTCCTTGAACCAAATGAGAACGAAACACTACCATACTAAAACCTTTGGGACAAAGCAAAAGCAGTGCTCAGAGGGCAATTTATAATAATAAATGCACACGTCCAAACAGAAGGAACCAGAACCAACACCTCAACCTAACATCTCCAACAATTAGAAAAAGTGAAGAACAGTTAAGCCTACAACCATGAAAAGAAAAGAAACCATTCAAGATTAAAGTGGAAATCATGAAACTGAAACTACAAACAGCAGCAGGAAGAGGACTGATGGCGACTGAAGCCACGAGGAAACCGTCAGCCCATGGGCCGTGAGAACATCTGTCTCCACAACCCAGAGACAGAAGAATTTGAGGGTGCCTGGCCATCCCTACCAACTGCTCTGAAAAGAATCGCATTAGAAAGTGCCAGACAGAGCGAGAGAAAATAGGCCAAGAACTCAAAATCATTGGGAAGTTTCCAGCAAATAAAAGAGGTAAAGGAAAGAAGGGGGAGAAAAGAAGTGAGAGAGAAAACCAAAGATTTGGGAATGGACAGTGGTGATGGCTGGACAAGATGGGAAGTGGGGCTAGACTGTCCATGTAAAAATGGTTGAAATGGCAAATGCTTTGGTAAATATATATATATATACTGCTATGATAGTAATAATAAAACAAAACAACAACAAAACACCACGCTAACTGGTCAGATAGAGACTAGCAGAGCCCGAGACTATGGTCCTTGGAATCCAAGTTACCTGTCTCAGCCAAGCAACAGACAGGTGTATTGGGGGCGGGGGACACACACACACACAACAATGCTAGTAAGGTACACACACCAAAAAAGGTCAACCATTCAAGATCTAAAGGCAGCATTTATTTACTAAAGGATGAAACTCAAGGGTGGGGAATGGCAGAAGAATGGAAGCAAGCAGCGGAGGGAAGAAGTGGGACAGATGTTACACTGAGGGGCTTTGCAGTCGTGGAGACGAAACGAAATGGTTTCATGGTTTATGGAATGTGAAACTGATGATCTGCTCTGTAAACCTTCACGCCATTCCCAATCCACTATTTTAAATAAGCAAATCAATAATCCGGAAATCCACCACGATCCCCACAGCGGTGGCAGTTACCTCTGGAGCCGCTGGACAAGCTGGGCCACCATGGTGTCAGAGATCCCAGGGCACGCCTCCTCCGCTAGGTAGATGGCCCCTCGCAGTTCCTCAATGGACCCCATGTTGCCGCCACACGCCTGGCTCTTCTCTTTCAACTGCAAACATGTAGACAGAGTATGACACACATGAACAAGAGGGGACATCCCGTGCATGCAGCCAGGCAGAGACCACGCCAGGGCTTTACTCCGCCGCTGGGCCACTTCAGATTTTTGCTCCAAGGACATTATGTCTTGAAATGGCAATGGTTAAACCTAAATTCTCACCTTTTATAGGTAAGAAAGGAGGCCTGGCGTGGCACTGTCGGATAAACACGGGACTGCTACTTGCAAAGTTGGTGGTTCAAACCCACCAGCTGCTCCTTAGAAATGCTATACAGGATCACTATGAGTCAGAACTTACTTAACAGCACTTACCAACAATAACATAGGATAAAAGGAGCTCTCATTAGCTCAGCAGCTATGCAAAATGTCTGTGGTTTGAATCCATCAGTTGCTCCATAGCAAAAAAATACGACCTTCTTTAAAAATGTACAGTCTTGGAAATCCTATGGGGGCAGTTCTACACTGTCTTGTAGGTCATTATGAGTAGGAACTGACTCAACAGGTTTGGTTTATAGATATGAATAAAGACAACTAGGTTTTCTGTGTACCTTTTTCAAAATCTGTCCCGTCTATCTAGAGTTTTCTATTTTCATGCTTAATATTGTATTGTTGTTGTTAAATGCTGTCGAGTTGGTTCCAACCCATAGTGACACTGCATAGGGTTTCCAAGTAGCAGCTGGTGAGCTTGAACCGCCGACCTTGCCTTTGCAGGTGTGTGCACCTAGCACATTAACCCGCAGCACCACACCAGGAGTCCAACATTGTATCAGAAAACCAATTTAAAACCCTATCAAAAGTAATTTAAGCTTTGGTTCCAACCCTGAGACTGCAGTGTTATGGGACTTAAAGGAGTTTAAAAACGCCTTTCTGTCCAGAGTGGTATTAAAACATGATTTCCTATGAGTAACAGGCAGCCCTAAGTCCTGCGAAGCCACCGTGTCCCTCTTGGCTAAGTACTGGTTACCAGTGCTCCTTTGAGAGGTACCTCCTTCACTTTAAGGTCAACACTAAGTCTCTTCCTGGATTCACCCAAAACATGACCAATGAAAACAAGAGCTGCTCACGTTGACACAACACAGCGTGGGCTCAGGGCCTCGGAGAAGAGGCTCCAGTGGGCAGCTGCACAGGGGCCAGCCCAGCCTCCTCCTCTGCATTCCCTCCCTCCGCTCCAACTTTAGGGCCAGTAAGAAATACTTCACAAAATGGTCGGCTTTAACGTTGCCGACTGCTGTGAAAACATGCCAGTTTCAGAATCAGTCTCACTCTACATAGAAAAAAAACATGGTTTCTCGTTTCTACTTCTAAATGGGGCACATATGAGGAACTGCAAAGGTCTGATGTCCGAGGGGCCCATGGGCGCTGGAGACATCTGCTCAGCGTTTCCTAGTGTCTGTTCCTTAGTATCCTTCTTATCTTCAATTGCAACACTGCTGATCTTGAGCCTGCCGTTTGTCTGTCTGTCTAGGACGGCCAATCGTCACTTAGCTAGGACTACTGACAAGGACTGTGTGAGCAGTCGGTACTATACCACTCTCCCCTTCCAATTCTTACAGCTGCTTTCTTACACCGCCTCACCCTGCCCTATGACCTTACGTGTTTGCTACACGTCGGTTAGAAAGAGGAAACAAAGGCAGCCCAGAAAGCCTGTGCTTTCTGGTACAGACTTAGAGACCTGGATATACATATATGACCTGCGTGGTAGCAAACACATACAAGACTTCTTGCCCTGTTCTCGTTTGTATAAGGAGAGATGGTGACCTTTATTCTGGAGTTTTTATGAGAATCCCATAAAACATGGCAGCACAGTAAACACTTTGGACTTTAGCTATTAAATATTAATTAAAAAATACAGGAAAAGGTTAATTCAAAGTGGATCTTGAATAATGATTTCACAATAATTAGTTCATAGGAGTCCTGGTGTGGCGCTATAGGATAAGCACTGGACTGCTACCTACAAGGTTGGCAGTTCAAGCTCACCAGTCACTCCTTGGAAGGGAAAACAGATTTTCTGCTTCTGTTATAATTTAGTCTCGGAACGCCCAGCAGGGTCACTCTGAGTCTATGGCAGTGTGGCATTTTTGTTTGTTTGTTCATGTGCCAAATAAAAAAGAAGTCATCAAAGGCAGATGAGAAAAACCGAAGCCACTTTTCTAAATGTCTGACTGGTTTTATTGAAACAGTAATGGCAGGATCACAGGAACGCAAACCAAGCGCCAAGAAAATCCTGGGGACCAAATCTCTCTAATAACAACAATAAAAATCACAATGGCACCTTAAGGACAGCCACCTTCTTGTTGGCGGACATCAAGAAAATTCTGAGTCACAGTGCCCCCATGTGTGCAGGGGCACTGGGCCTCCAAGGCTGTGGCCTGCCATGTGCCTCTGGGTGAGCTTGAACCACCAACTTCGGGGCAAGTTAGATGAACATTTAACCATCTGAGCCACCCAATGAATCCTCCGGACATCCCAGGATGAGCAAAATATCTAGAAAAACCTGCCAAGGCTGATGCCTAAGGGCTCAACTTTGATAACCTGGTAACTCTGGTCATTGATAATAAAGATCAAAGTTACATCGGGACAGAACACATGGGCGTAAGCACTCAGAAGGAATCTATAATGTCTCCTTTGAAATAAAAACCTACTCTTAACACTGCCATAACTTTGTTTGAAGCGAGATTTGGCTGCCCTCAACCTGACTTCAGAAGTGGTAACAGATGAGGAGTTCGGCGCTCTGGGCATTCCCCAGAAGGGATGTGAGAAGACCGGTCCCTGGACAAACAGGAAGTGTGTGAGGAGAACGTAGTCCCCGCCCACTGTGCATGAGGCGGACTCTGCACCTCTGGCTTCCATGCGCCCCACTGATACCGACAGCACCCTCAGAAAAGGCGCAGCACTCTTCCCCCACCCCCACCCCCGTCTGACACCAGGAGTCTTACCTCTGCAAACAGAGGAGAGATGATCGTAGATAAACACTGAGAGAAAGGCCTCTTTGGGATGTCTTTCATCTTGGGGGAGAGAAACAGATCATCAGAAACATTCAACATTTTCATTCACACTCACAGTAATTCAATAAACTTCAGATGGAGACTATTAAAGCGTAAAGCCTGTTTTCTATAAGTCACCCTTAGGAGATGTTCTCTGTCTACTGTCATGTCTGAATAGGACCATCATTCACGACTGCAGTGTTTTACTTCTAGTGACAGGAAAACTCAACCATGACCGCTGGCGCGCCAGTGGAAGAAGGGCCAGACCAACAGTATTCTGTGCGGGCGCAGCTACGCAGAGACTAACCTATTCTGTGTCAGGAGAAGGGCTTGGTTACTAATTCAGCTCTGGAAATGTGACAGCAACGCTGGCTAGGACAAGGGGCCTAGTCGCCATCCTTTTGCAACCCCGATCTACACATGTAGTGACTCTCAACCACTTTATCAAAGCAGGACTTGTACGATCACCAATGGACATCCAGTGGTTCCACAGTGCTCGAGAAAAACAATACCACCATCTTTAAAAAGATCCAAAAAATGTAACTTTTAACAAATAGGAATAATACCAATGAATCGAAACAGGTTGTGTGTAAGTGCCAAAAACAAGTCATTAATTCTGAAGCAAAATTCAAGTCAACAGTTATGTTAGCACTTTCTTTGAGTGACCTTGAAAAGTAAGAGGGCATGGTCCCTATATAGTGTCATGAGGCCACTTCATACAAAAACCTCCATCTCCTCTACTCCCACCTTTATGTCCAAGTGTCAGGAAATTGACTCAACAGTAAAGCCGATCGGTTCAGACTCTCAGATCCAAGTCTTTGGTTAATCTGAAGGGGAACTTAATCTCTTCAGCTGTCAATTCTCTGACAGGGATGTTCGGCAACAGGCTGCCTTGCCAATGCTGCTACTTTACACCAAAGTGACTCAAGCTGCTGACAAGTGTCCCCACCCTTTTCAATCACCTAGTACAAGCATACCGTACCTTATTTCTTTCGAGATCTGAGGGCTGAAGAGCTCCATTCTCAAGGTTCTTGGGATCTTTTTCTCGGATTGTGAAGATCCAATCTCCTGAGTCGCTGCCCCCAGATGCTTGGCCATCTGGTTCCCTGAACACAGAGATTGACGGGATTCCGTCAATAAGTACACACTGGCCCAGCGAGGACACTAATGAATCTATGTGTCCAACTCTAAAACTGGACACCCGACGTGACCCACCATCCACCCCCACAATTCCCAATCTCCTCCAATCTCTACAAATCACACCCCTGTCCTGACCTCTTAAGAGAAACCATGGGAATGCAGCTCCCAGAACCTCCCAGACCCAGACATACACATGTGACAGCCAGCACTCCCACGTCTCCCCCTGTCACTAACATCTCCCCACTTCCCCTGGAAGCCCTCCGCATATATTTCAACTTCCCTCCCTTTAGCTCCTTCCTATTGCTGTTTAAACATGCGAGCCCTGGTAGTGCAGTGGGTTACATGTTGGGCTGCTAACTGCCAGGTCAGTGGTTCAAACCAAACAGCGAGGCCACAGGGAAAAATTGAGGCTGTGTGCCCCCATCAAGAGTTCATCTCAGCAACCCTAAGAAGCAGTTCTACTATGTCCTGTAGGTCACACTATGAGTTGGAATCAACTCGATGATGGTGTCGGTTTTCCCTTTGCTTACTACCAGTGAGAACTCAGCCCCCCTCAATCCAGTCTCGTCTCTCTGAGCCACATGGCTTGAGCTCACTCACTGAGGTTCCGGAACACTCAGCTGTGCTCACGAGAACTGTTCATAAACCAAGGCAGCTGTTTGAACACAACAAGCGACACTGAATGGCTTCCAAACAGGAAAGGTGTGCTCAGGACTGTGTCCTTTCACCATACATATTCAGGGCTGAGCAAATAATCTAAGGAACTGCACTATTTGGAGAAGAATGTGGCCTCAGGATTGGAGAAGGCTCATTAACAGCCCGCAATATGCAGATGATACAACCTTGGTTGTTGAAAGCCAAGACGACTTGAAGCCCTTACTGATAAAGACCAAAACCTACAGCCTTCAGCGTGGATGACACCTCAACATAAAGAAAAAATCCTCACAACTGTACCAATAAGCAACAACACGGATGTCATTTTACTTGGATCCACAATCTATGCCTATGGAAGCAGCAAGAAATCAAATGATGTATTGCGTTGGGCAAATTTGCTACAGAAGACCTCTTTATAGTGTTCAAAAACAAATCACTTTGCGGGCTGATATGCATCTGTCCCAAACCCTGGTATTTTCCATTATTTCATATGCAGAGAGAGAAAGCTGGGCAATGGATTAAAAAAAGACAGAAAAAAGATGCCTCTGAATGACAGTATTGGAGAAAGACTACTGAATATGCCATGGACTCCCGGAAGAAACAGACGGTACACTCCTTAGAAGTAAGGATGGCAAGACGTCGACTCACGTACTTTTGGACATGTTATCAAGAGGGAGGGCTTGAGTTGAGTCACCTAAAAGGAGGACATCATGCTTTCTAAAGAAGAGGACTTACTGACATGGAAAGATGTGGTGGCTCCAACAATAGGTTCAAACACAGTGAATGATTCTAAGGATGGCGCAAGACTGGGCAGCGCTTCAGTCTGCTGTGCACCGGGTTGCGATGCGTCAGAACCAACTCAATGGCACCTCACAATAACAGTCACTACTCCGCCATTTTTACCTTCTACTCGCTCTGAAACCCACGCTAGCCTAACACTTGCCACCTCTGCGTTCCTCTAGGCTTCACGTAGTTTAGAATTTCAGGATGTCTTACATAAATACACCTTTCTCGTCCTTTTGGACAGGAACCTCAACACATTCCACCAACATTCCTTCTAGATGGGAACTAGAGTGTTCCATGACTACACTTCTTTTAGAAACTGCAGTGTTTCCCAAACACAGTACAGCTTGAAACTAGAAAGGGAGGAGGGGGGCAAACAGGAGACGGGACCAGCAGACCACCGCTGCCTTCCACTGCCACCCTGAGCAGGGCACAGACATGGACTTACACATCTGAGTCTTCAGAGCTGGAATCGTCATGGCTCTGTTCAGCCTTCCATCGCTTGTACCTATCGATGAGCTCGGTCAAGTACGATGTTTTCTTTGCATTGCGTAGGATAAACTTGTGCTTCAGTAACTCCTTAGCAGTGGGTCTCTGGAAAGTAAGCAAACAAACAGGATGAGATGGAAATTCACTACGATCCACTTGGTTCCATCTCAAAGGGCAGACTTATGCTTCAGAATGCCAAGGAATCACAAGTAAGGGTGGACTTTTCCCTACAGCAAGCTGCTCAGCTCTGCCTCCAAGACTAGGTGTATCATGGCAAACATGAAATTTCCTATCGAGTGGGGGTCTGTAATATTCTGCAGGTTAACAGGAGAATTTCCTCCAGAATAAGCACAGTTACTAGAAATTCAATACAGTGAGACTGCCATCTCCCAATGTTATGAAATTTATGTTTGGTGTTTATTTGTTAACATTGCATCCTAAGGTTTGGGTCCACAAAAGATTAAATATTCAACAATACATTAGCTTGAATCACTTGAAAGAAATTGAAAAGGAGCCAGGAGATACCTTTTTTTTGCATGTGGAAAGAACGCCTGAATTCTCTTAAGTGATCAGTTTTTGACAATTTAAAAAATTCAGCTTCCCAAGTCTGTACTTTCCCTTGTGGTTAGTGGTCAGGACTTTATCCATGCTCTGGTCTCAGAATGGCCACAGCCAAACACTGCACTTTGAACTCTACCAACCGCTTTGCCCGTAAAGACAGCAGACTCAGTGAAAGATGGGGAGCGTGCTTCCTTAGGAAACTCAAGTGTAGTACTATAAACTGGAGTAGGTGGCCAGAAAACACAGCCACCTGCTAGTACTCAAAGTAACTAGGGCTTTATTAACAAGAACCACCAGACTCCTCAAACTCTCCCTTAGGAAAAACCTGGGTCACACCCAGCACTTCCCACTGCTTAACCGTAGGACAGTTTATGGTTAATTGCTCTTGAGTCAGTTGTGACTCATAGAACTGAGTCTGTATAGGATTTCCAAAGAGTGGCTGGTGAGTTTGAACCGCCAAACTTGCAGTTTAAACTGACCTTGCGGCCTAGTGCTCATCCCACAGCACCATACCAGGACTTCCCCCAAATATTTCAGAAGTGCTGTATTCTCAGGTTCTCATCCTTCTCAGATAACTTGGGGCTGGGTGGAGGTGGTTATGTGTGTGCTGGGCAAATAATAAGCTGATACTAGAAATGGTGTTTTAATTAGAAGATGTGCACTGGTGTGTATATATATGTGTGTCTGTGTGTGTATCGTCTTGGGGGTTGGTGGGAGCAAACATCATGACATGAAGTCACTATGCCATGGATATGTAGAACAACGCCCTCCCCCAATCTGACGCTGACTTGGTCACCTTGGGCTGTAACTGTTGCCCACTGAGTCCTATTATCAGTCCAGGATTGTACTAGACAGCCGTGGTGCTGTTGTAAAGCTAACTACCCATCTTTACTGGCAGGGGTGGGCTGTCAGCTAACCGTGCTGGAAAATGCAGAGACAGGACAGGGCTACATGGTGCTATAGGCAACACCAAAACAGAAAATGTCCAGGGAAACATCCTGGTTTGGAGAGAAACGGGCTCTAATGATAGGTACTCAGGGCTGCTGTAGGACTTTGCCAGTCAATTCAATGTAACAAGGGCAAGTAAGAAGGGAGGAAAATAAGTGGGCGGATTCATTTATTATTTTTTGCTTTTTGGTTCTAACACATGCCAACTAGAAGCTAAAATGCTGGCTTTAAAGACATACTTAGTTATTCTCCAGCAGGCTTTGCCACTGCTAAAAACAGTTTAACAGTTTACAGCTGGACCTCCTCTAAAATATTAAAACAATTATGATTGCACATATGATATTAAGGAGAATAGGCATGGTACACTAGAAAATCAAGAACATAAGGAGTTAACCGATGAAAGATAAACAACAATAAAAACATTCAGAGAAATGTGCATATTCATTTAAAAAACCTGAAAACAGAGAACTTGAGCTGATAAGAAACACACAGCATGTACTGACAGATTTCGCTACTGAAAGAGACAATTCAAGACCAATCGTCTGTCTTCATTGTTACCGTTGGTAAGTACCACTGAGTCGGTTCCAACTCATACTGTATAGGGTTGCTGAGGAGCAGCTGGCTAGTGGGTTTGAACTCTCAACCTGGAAATAAGCAATCTAGTGCTTACCCAACAACAGCATCACACCCAGGACTTCACATATATTTTTCTTTTTTTTTTTTTTTTAAATGTACATGTCTGAATCCAACTGTAGAGCTTTATCACCTACCCCGTATCCTGGTGTGGGGCTGTGGGTTAATGAAGTGTACAGCAAGGTCAGTCTGAACTGTAAATTCGGTGGTTCAAGCTCACCAGCCTCTCCTTGGAAATGCTATATAGAGTCGCTATGGGTTGGAAGAGACTTGGTGGCACTTAACAACAGCAATAAGATACTATTTAAGACCTTAGCAACAATGAAAGAAAATATAGGTAACTTCATACAGTCAAAGGCCTTGACCAAAGATAAGGCAAAACTCCAAGGAATCAAGCTTTGAATAGCAACAAGGTTTCAATGGGGGTTCTCTGAAAATGTAAGCATGTGTTTACACTGTAAGCCCTAACCCCCTTAAGACTTCTCAGTCCCTATCCCTATAATGAAAGCACCATCGGAAATGCCCATTGAAAACTAGGTGCGCTCACGCGGCTACCAGTCAACACAGCTGAAGGGCTGTACTGTCCCTGCGTGTGAGCTGAGAAGGTTGGGTGAAATCTGGGAGGTGAAGCCTTCTTCCAATGAGGGCCATTTCAAAGTGCAGCCAAAGGCCGAGCAGCAGAACATTCTCCGGAATTGGTACTCAAAAGTCATCGTGGGAACAATCCAGGGCTCATTCAATGGTATGTACAGCTTTCTTGGTGCGAAACCCACACACCACCACTGCTGGTGTTGCCCCGCCTCAACAGAGACATTGTTAACCAGATCCAGGGCACCAAGCGAATGTGCTTACAGAGGAGACTGTTGCCCCAGAATTTAACTTTTTGACTTGTTTTTTCCTTGTCCCAAGCTTTCTGGTGATTAAAAAACAAAACAGTAAGATGTAGCTAAACAAAATCATGCCACATAGTCACACATCCTTGTGACAACTTACAAAGCTTGGCTCCTTATTCAAACAGGCTTCCACAAACTCCTTGAGGGGTTTGCTGTAGTTTCCTTCCAGCGTTGGTGGGTTGTTCTTTGGAATGAGGAATAAAACCTTCATGGGATGCAGCTCGGAATGAGGTGGCTCCCCTTTCGCAAGTTCGATGGCTGTGATGCCCAGGGACCAGATGTCTGCCTGCAACAACAAAACCAGCTTTAGAGCCACTGAGCAGGAGTAAAGGTGAGACCAAAAAAATGAGCAAACGTTTCAACAAACTGGGTTTCCCTAGGTGGCGCACACAGTTAAGCGCTCTCAACTACTAATTGAAAGGCTGGAGGTTCAAACTGACTCAGCGGACCTCCGAAGACAGACCCGGAAATATGCTTCCCAGAGGTCACAGCCTTGAAAACCCTACAGCGCAGCTAGGCTCACACACGTGGGGTTGTCGTGAGTCAGACTCGACTGGATAGCAATTAACCGTATAGTTCTATGGTTTGGGGCAAAAAATTCTTTTTAACTGATTATGAAGAAAATAAATTCTCTATAGTTTCAAAATAGGCAATTCAAAGGAGAAAATTTTAAACAATGATTTCTATTTTATTTACTGCTGGAGATATAAGGTGTATGCTATTAAGTCTCTGGAGGCAAGGGGACAAGCAAACTAGACATGGTCAGAGATGGCAGAAATGATGTGTCTGGGGAATGGAGTGCTGGTTTTGAGTTAGCCATCAAGTAATACTTTCATCTAAGCATAGCTCCGGGGGAGAGTGGGCTCCACATCCACAAAATACCTAACCTCTGCACAGCGGCTTTCTGAAAAATGGGAGTAAGGTGCCTTACACAGTGCCTAGAACTTTAATAAATGTTGATTATGAAAATGTTCAAACCTAAAGACCCCCATACGCCCATCACATGAACTTAATAGTTGGTCACCAAAGGCTCGCTCTCCAAGCACCCCAACGCCACTAATGAAGAAACCATGTCCCAACTGCTGATTTTGTTCTACGATTTCGTTTCATATGTGTCTTTCGCTCCTGTTATTTCCTGCCGACATCAATACAATCCCAAGGCTTGGTGGCATTCCGGAATGTTACCAGTTGCTGAGCCCTCCTGACCAGCACGCACAGCTGGTCAGGGCCTACCAGGTAAGTCGGCGCACGAAGTCCTGGAAAGTGTTAAGAGTGGAGAGAGCAGGCAGGCTTAGAGGTTCTTCACAGTCAATGAGACTGTCAGAAGCTACCACCTTTCCAGTCCCCAAAGAACCAGAGCAAGGCTGAAAATGAAGCGGGTCTACAGGTACTAAAAACTAGTGTGGACGGAAGAAAACAAAATCCAAACCAGCATCAGTCTAGTAGTGTTGCTATCGTCACAGTGCACTGTGATACCCATCTTTACTCTAAGAAATTAGGTTAGAGCCTCAGCAACCAACCTAACTGTACCACAGGAAATGGGAAAAGGCTGGTGCCTCTTTTAGGTCTCCACCGGACCCAAAGTTTTTTCTCCCTTTACCAACCTGGAGACAACTTCAGAAGTTCTCCTGCACCCCCGTCATGTTCTTGCAGCCTCAGTGAGCACCAGGGATCTGAGGTCCTTCCTGGGATTTCACAGCAAGACTTGTAATGAATTCTTTATACTAAAATCTAATATGCAAGGGGTAGGTCCAGGATAAACAGTACCAAGAAGATATCTATTTTCCTTTGCACTATAGCTTGTCTTTGCTTCCCTTTGCGTATGTATCATTTTTTACAAAAAGAGCCAGGATATGCCACTTATCCCAGAGCAGCTCACCCCAAGAAGGATAAAGATGGGATGCATGAGAACACGTTAGCAGGTAAGCAATCCTAATGACCGGGCAGAGGCAGGAACCCAAGCAGGTAAAAGGAGAGAGGGTAAGGTGCAAGAAAGTAAGTTGTTGTTGTTAAGTGCCATCGAGTCGGTTCTGAGTCATGATTTCACAGCAGTGACTTGTCACACCAAAGGTCCCTTTCTGACGTCAGCGTGACGCCACATCTGTCTGCCAGTTTGGGCTCTCTTGGATTTCACTAGACCTGAAGCTGTCTGTAAAGTCCACTGCACAGTACCCATCTGCCTCCTGGCTATACAGACTCGGGTGTTTGTCCAAATGATCTGTGATGAGCGTGTCTCTAGACCTCGGAGCATCTCAAAATCTGTGTAAATGCATTCTGGAACTATATGGCCCACACAGATGGTGGTCTCTGCTGACAGCCATAGGATGTGCTTACACTGATTTACCTAAGGAACCCGGGATCATGCTACAGGGCTCTACGTGGGACCATGAACACAAAGACTGCAAGACTACAGGCCTTTATCCCAATACAATCCACTCAAACCCACAGAGAAAACCACCTTTCCAGGTGGACAGGCCTTCCCACTGCAAATAACTCAGCTCTACGGTCTTCACAAAGGAAGTACGGGTGCCACCCAAGGGCTGGCTTCCCCGTGAAGGGTGGCCAGTAGAACGTCATCAGGACAGATCCAGCATCACCCACCATCAGCCAGACCAGTCAGCCCAGCTCCTCCACTGTGCTGGGACCCTTCTACCTTCAACCATGCTCCAGGTGTGTGGCTCCTGATCTTGACGCTGGACAAAACCCATGCTCTGCTAGCTGCAGAGGGAAACCGAGAAGACTCAGAGACAGGCATTTCTGTCACCAACTGTCTCCCTTAGAAGAGAAACTCAGGGCTCCACGGAGGCTTCGGGAGTTAACAAAGACAAGGATATGGAAACTGTCACAAGGCAAGGATGTGGGTACAAGTCACAATGCGGAGATAGTAACCATTATTGCTGTAGGCCTTCTAGTGAACTATATTCCACCTCAGTGGGCACCTGGATTCTTTAGGTAGTTTCAACAGCTGGGACTGGTGCCGAGTGAACTCACTCTTCATGCTCCTTCTTTGCTTTCTGAACATGGCTAACTACGTTCTTAGTTTACTTTAACTTAAAATGTGTTGCTGGAACCCTTTTACAGCTGTGGACAAGAAAGCAGAAGGCTGCCTGCATCCGTCTCTCAGCACTCGCTCTTCCCTCCACCCACCCACCCACTGGCTTAGTTCAGAGCTACGGTCTTGCCTATGCACTTCTGAAGGGATTCCTAAGTGGTCTTCCTGCTTGAGGTCTCCCTCTCTCCAGACATCAAAAACCTGCTGACAAACTTAGAAAGCTTTATTGGCTTATACATTTAAGAGCCATAAAAATATTCAAACTTGCTAAGACCAATGAAATCTACATCTTGGAATCTATCCTAAATAGGTGACTTTTGGATTTGAGACGTTGTATGGGCATGAGAAAGCTAGACAATGATTAAGAATTGAGGCCTCAGGATTATGGTGTTGGTAAAACATATTGATTAAGTATACCATGGACTTCCGGAAGAATCAACATATCTGTATTGGAAGAAGTACAGCCAGATGCTTCTTAGAAGTCAGGATGGTGAGACTTCATCCCATGTTCTGGAACATGTTATCACATGGGACAAGTCCTTGAAGAGAAGGACAGCATGTTTGGTGAAGTAGAGGATAGACACCCAATAAGATGGTCTGAAACAGCGGCTGCAAGAGCGGCTCATAGGGACACAGGAACGATTGTGTGATGGTTACGGTTGTGTGTCAACTCGGCTGGAGCATGCTTCTCATTGGTTTCACAGCTATACGGAGTCATTCCCCAAGATGAGATCGGATACAACGCAGTCACCTCCATGATGAAATCTACTACTAGCAGTTGGTCAATCAATTGAAAGGGAGTTTTCTCGGGGGTGTGGCCTGCTGCCAGTCTATATGGACGCTCTGAAAATCCCTAGCTTTTTGTTGGATTTGCATCCTGTATCTGGCTCATCATCTGACCTCTGGTTCTCTGGCCTTAACCCAGTGGCCGGCTGGATTGCTTGCCAATCCTGGGAGTTGTCAGCAGCCTGTCTTATCTCCAACACTGGATTCATTTGTCTCAGCAACAACACCTGCCCATGAACCGTCTGACCTGCCGATCTTGAGTTCATTGGTCCCTGTAGCTACGTGAGGCAGAGAGGGCTTCATTGGACATCTGACCCACAGACTTGGAATTTGCCAGTCTTTACAACTGCCATTTCCTTAAGAGAAATCTCTTTGTCTTGCTTGCTTTCTATATAAACATATATAGGAGCCCTGGTAGTACCATCGGCTACCAGCTGGACTGCTAGACTCAAGGTCAGAAGTTCTAATCTACCAGCCACACCACAGGAGAAAGAGATGAGGTTTTTTGGCTCCCATAAAGGTTCACAGCCTCAGAAAACCCTATACAGGGTCACTATGAGTCAGATCTGACTCAACAGCACACAACCACCTCCACCATATAGTTGTTTTTTTTAAGTGCCATTGAGTCGGTTCTGACTCACAGCAACCTGTGTAGGGTTTCCGAGGAGTCACTGGTGAGTTTGAACCACTGACCTTGCTGATCAAACTGACCCTGTGGCCCAGTGCTTATCCTACAGCACCACATACATACATAAATAAGCTTCACTGGTTTTGCTTCCCTAGAGAGCCCAGTGTAAGTCCAACTGTGAGGATGGTGCAGGACAGAGAAACACTCTGTTCTGCAGGGTTGTTGAGTCAGAACTGACTCAACAGCACCTAACAACAACATATGGCACCATAAATATTCACAGCAACGTTACTTATGTTCAACCTTAAAGGATGATTAAATTACTATGCACACGTTTAAGTTAATGAACCACTATGTAGTCAGTAACAAGGTTATCAACAGAAAATCATACAAATCAATTTGTTATCACATCTAAGAAAGATGTCATTTGATTTAGAACTAATGAAAGTGACGTGTGTGAAGGCAGTCAAAGGGTACAAAATGTGACACTGGATATTAAAATACCACTGACAGAGAAGACGATTTTAAATGGGAGTCGGAGACAAAACTCACAAGGGCAGCAGCTCTGAACTTCAGACATTAATTTGGGAACAGATTTTTTCCCCTGTATAGACAGCTGTAGGTTGTATGTTCCCAAGTGGCAGAATTATCTACAGCTGATGGCCAAGAACTCTTCAGAGCAAGGAGGTGGGCAGACAAGTAACATACACACCAGCACTATAAGGCTTTGCAGTAACATGCTAGATAAAAGTCAGTTGGCGGTAAATCTGCACATATACTACAATGTTAAGTGGTATAAAAGTTTATGTGTAGAAACTAACTCTAGAAGGAACTATGGTCAAACTCTCTGTATGAGACAAAGAGGAAGAAAACCATGGATAAAGTCCAACTCACAGTTAATACTGAACTAGTCAACAGAGCTCCAAATGGACCTATTATAAACTGTTTTCTTAATTAGATCCCATGATTGTTGCTTATGAAAACTGACTTGGTAGAACTTACGAGTCTCAACATAAATTGCTCGACCTATAATGGCCTGGTGTGGCGCTGTCGGTTAAGGCGCCAGACTGCAAAGCCGTTTGAACCGCAAGGTCCGCTCCTCGGAAATCCTATACAGGGTCGCTAGGGTCGGGATCAACTTGATGGCACTTAACAATAACCACACAGACACCACACTGCCTGTGGAAGCGAAGCCTGTAGTCAGTGAGTCTGCTACTGTCCTCCCTTATGCTGGATGTCAGAAAGGGTCAGCGGGGCGCCCACTCCACTTCCACTCTTCCTCCACGTCACCGCTCCACTCAATGAGAAGATTCTTTAGGTGGGAGCCAGGGAGATCAGCTGGATGGGGAGGGTCAGTCACCCACAGCAGTAGACAATGGTAACTATGCAAGTCAAGCAAAAATCTAATGCCGCCATGTGGTCCTCACTTGAACGATTTACTGTTTTCTGGAGATGCTTCACCTACTCCCATTTCGCCATGGTTACACTGTAGAGGTGGCTGAACAACAGCGTGTATCTCTGCTTGTGCTCTGGTGGTTGGTCTACAAATGGTTTTCTTTTCTTCCTATCTCCCCTCACCCCAGTACTGCCCTTGGTTCTGCACCATCTCCCCAGAGAAGTAAGCTCTTTACCTGTCATGAGAGAGAAATTGAAGGTGGAACTAGCAGGGGGCAAGGAAGGGAGAAAACACAGAAGCTGAGAAGTCTACAGCGGGAGGGGCAGCCACAGTCACACCTCCCAGAGCATCACAGACCCCACAAATGCTTCAGCTCCCAGGACAGCCAGTCACTGGGAGGAAACCCACACAGCCACCTCTCTCTGACAAGGACCAAAGAGGTGCCAGTCAGACCACAACTAACGGCAGTGGTGGGGAGGAGGGTCCCTCCATCCTGCCATAGACATGAGTTTTAGCTGCACTCTCTGCACATCCAGAGTCAACAGACCTGGACAGAAAATTTCACATACATGTATGTTCACACATGATTTCCAGATAGGATATGTTGGGCACGATCCAGACAAAGGGAAGAACTCGCCTTTGATGCAAGTCAGAGTCAACTGTAAGGCTGGGAGCCACTTTACGTTTCTGGCAAATGGTACATTTTCTTCAGGTATCTTCTCCCCAACCAAACCTGCAATCACTAGAATTATGAGACTTTATCTTTTCAACTACTAAGAAATGAATACTATAATGTCGAATGATGGGCTTTTTGAGCTTGAGAAACACTCCAGAAGATTCTATGATGTAGTAAAATCCCTACTACTCAGAGGCCAGCTTCACAAAGCACCCAGAATGGCCCTGAATGAAGGGAGAATGGGAAGGCAACTGTCTCAGGCAGTCAGGAAATTTTCTCAATTGATGGTGAGAAAAAGTCAGCTCTGACTCCTGAACAGCATACGCCATGATCATCATCTAATATATTAGAAAGAAAGAAAAGTGAATGATCGGAATGGTATAATCACGAGATGTTAAGAAACTTGACCTTTAATCTTGGCCATGGAGTTCCAGGTGTGCGTGCTTTGTATTGGTGTGGCACTGTGGGTTAATACAGTGGACTGCAACGTCGGTTAGAATCACAAGGTCAGCAGTTCAAGCTTACCAGCTGCTACTCAGAAACCCTATACAGGATCAATATGGGTCGGAACCAATTCAATGGCATTAACAACAATTTCAGTCTTACCAAAATGCCCATGTATGGGCCTCAGCTTAAAACAGAGAGAATGCCTGCACACATAAGGTGCTCTTGCCAAGTCCTAAAGCCATCTGACAGCAAGAAAAAGGGCCAACTGCAAAATTGGCCATTCTAACAGACTGCTGTTGTTGTTGTTGTGTGCAGTTGAATCATACCTGTGTAGGCTTTCTGAGGCTGCAAATCATGGGAGCAGAAAGCCTCATCTTTCTCCCATGGAGCAGTTGGTAGATTTGAACTGCTGACCTTGCAGTTAGCAGCCCAGCATGTAACCCATATCACCACCAGGGCTCCTCTTCTAAGAGATCAGAAGTAGTTTGTGGAGTTACCACATACGGCAAAGATGGCAACTAGAGACCACTCAGTTCTGCTCTCTTGAGGAGGGTTGGACACCTGCGAGTGTCTCTTACTCATCCAGCAATAGCTACTAAGGTATCAGACAGAGGTCAGGCCAAGCACCACAACTTGTCAATGACACAGCCAGGTCCACGTTTCCAGTCTCAGAAGCCAGACACACCTGCAACTTCTACCACAACCTACACACTTTACAACAGGGGCTCACATGACAACTGTTGAGTTAGAACCCACTCAACGACACTTACAACCACCCACCTGGGGATGCAAGTTCCAAGGCAAAGGACCTTGCCATCTATACGCTGTGTTTAAAAGGCAGACAATCTACTGCATATTGTAGCAGAGTCCTACTTTAAAAGAATCAGCAGTCATTTTTGGTATACAAATGTATTTGAGTTAAGTATTTACCTAGACACTTTTGGTTCAGAAAAATCCAGTCTCTGGTGGACTACGACAAGGTTTTACTGCACGCAGGCACATTATGAATGGTCCACTCATGGAAGAAATGAAAGTTAATTCTGAGGCTGAGAAGGTAAGGAGGCCTTGGGTGGCTAGTCTAGACTAACAAACTTTAGAAAGCTGAAGGGCAACAGGGGGGGAAATAATGGAAAAATTTACGAAAGCACCAAATACTAATGAATGGTTGGAAAATCAGAATTATAATTTTGCCTCATGATGTTTAAGAAAACTCTGGAAGTTAATGGACTTAATTGAGAACCCAAAATCGTATTATTTGAAGAATCTACAGAAATCACTAAAAGCACTGTTCTTACCCAATTCTGCTCTGATATTTCTGTACAGTCTTTCCTGGGATCCTCGTTCCAAGGCCCTCTTATCTCTTTTCCAGACCACCTGAGCATCAACCACCACCTGTTCACAGACAACTTTCGAGTTCCTCTCCCTACAGGAACACTTTCCCACATGCCTCTGGCTCCCAGTCATCTGGAACCCAACACCTTGGTCCTGTGGTCGTTCATTCATCTACCAACGAGCTCCTCCTGAGTGCTGCCTGCTCATCACCACCTAACGGACGGTTCGTTATCTACAACCTCAATACTACTAAGTGAAATAGAACGAGACAAAGAAAACAGTTTCTAATCAAAGTTGGGATTTACCTTTCCAATGTCCTTGTGGTGCATGCTTCGTTTCGCTCTAGCTACAAAGTGCTACCATTTAAGGAACAAAAAAGGCTCCTCTAGACCCGAGAAACAGAAAGCATCGGTCCTTACCTTTGAGTCATAGGCTGATTGTTTGATGACTTCGGGCGCCATCCAGAAGGGGGTACCCACGAAGGTGTTTCTTTTGATCTGGGTATCTGTCAGCTGGCCTGCTACTCCAAAATCAGCCAACTTCACCTCTCCGTGCTCGGAAAGCAGAACATTGGCAGCTGCCAAATAAAACCACAGATGACTCCTGGCATTACTATTGTTGCCCTGTTGCTTAGGAGTGGGAGCACTCTCCCCCAGATGGATCACATGCTCAATAAAAACAGGCATTCAGTGTGGGCTTTCTGTCTGACACGCCCCCTGCAGGGCATGCTGAAGATATTCTACAAATATGGGCAAAACTCCGTCCCCAGAGAATTCCGTCTAACTCCACCACACGTTCCTGCCCACCCTTAGATCTCTTAAAGGAGCAAAAGCAAAAACATTTTTTACCTTTAATATCTCTGTGAATTTTCTTCTCTGAATGCAAATAATCCAATCCCTTCAGTATTTCTCTCAATATAGTAGCAATTTGAGTTTCATCTAATGGGCCAGGTTCTAACTAACAAGAAGAAGGAAAAAAAAACAAGTTATTTAAACAAATATCATTTTAGATAATAAAACACAACAATATCTGTATGGACAAGGTGATAAAACAGGAATAACATCTGAATTAAATGGACAAGAGTAGCTAAAAATTTTAAACCATCTTCATTTCAGAAACAGTTTGTCCAAGCGACAAAACCCAATTTAAAGAGTTATTTTTTAAAAAAGGAACCAAGTGGCTAAAAAGCTAAAACTGACAGCTGGGCCGGTTGGCAAATCAGAAGTGCAAGGCCTGCAGGCTGACGGGGGTGGGTCGCTCTTTGGGCCCCCAGTGGGATGAAGCCTGGCCAGAGTCCTCAAGGGAGATTTTAATGATGAAAACAAAGGCCCAGAAACTCATAGCACCTGTTTATAACAAGTAGCAGCTTTGGAGCTCTGGTAGTGTTGTGGTTACGAATCAGGCTGCGAACTGCAGTTCGAAACTACCAGCAGTTCGAAACTACCAGCTGTTCTGAGGGAGAAAGATGAGGCTTTCTGCTCCTGTAAAGATTTACAGCCTCGGAAACCCTGTACAGGGTCGCTATGGGTCAGAACCAACTCCATGACACATAACCACCACCACCAAAGCGTCCTAAAAAGCCATTCAGACAGCAAGGTTGGCAGTTCAGGCTCACCAGCTGCTCCTTAGAAACCCTATACAGGGTCGCTATGGATCAGAATTGACTTGACGGCACTTAACAACAAAAGGGTCCTAAAAAATCTAGAGAGCCAGATGAAATGTGGCTGAGGATCAAAGGAAAACATACCATAATCAGCTGCTAACCACGAGACTGAAAGTTTTTGTCTCCCCAGAGGCACCTTGGAAGAAAGACCTGGTAAACCTACTTCTGAAAACTTGTTCATTGAAAGCCTATGGAGCACTGTTGTACTCAGCACGCACAGGGTGGTCAGGAGTAGAGCTGATCCAATGGCAACTGGGTAGTACAAATGGTTAACATGCTGGGCTGTTAATCAAAATGCTGGTAGTTCAAGTCTGCTCAGAGGCACCTGACCAAGAAAAGCCTTACCATCGGCTTTCAGCCGCTGAAAACCCGGTGGTACACAGCTCTACTAGGACACATGAAAATCAATCCCACAGCAAGTGTCTGCATTTTGTTTCTGACAGATTTGTGACAGTTCCAATTATAAAGCAGTCCTGGAGCGGCGCAGCAGGATACTACGCTGGACTGCAAGGTCAGTGGTTCAAATCCACCAGCTGTTCCTCAGAAAGCCTACACCAGGTCGCAATGAGTCGCGATGAGTCGGAACTGACTCAAAGGCATTCAACACAACAACAAAAAGTTGTAAAGCGTGGGCCACCTCTCCTCCCATGGTTTTAGCCTCTCTGGGAGAATGGTTTCACCAGCAGCACAACCTTATCAAGCAGGTTTTCTCACAGTTCAGAACTCAGGTGTAAGAGGATTTGCTGATCACGTTTACTTTATATTAAATGCTTACTGTATATTTATTTATAGGATTATAAAAAAGTCCAATGGCTTGGGTCAACCAACCTGATGTACATTATCCCAAAATTCTAACTAAGGTGCGGTCCAAAAGTTACCTCGTAAGACAGCATGTTGCACACAGTATTTCCTCAAAAACACGCTTTTCCTGCTAATTTATCTGACCTCGAATTTTCTTTCCAGCACATATAGAAACTACTGTTCCAGAGTATGTTGCTGTTAAGTGCTGTAGAGTCGGTTCGAACCCACAGCGACTCCACATAGGGTTTCCAAGGAGCAGTTGGTGAGCTTGAAATGCTGACCTTGCAGTTCCAATGAATTCTGCAGTCCAGCACATTTACCTGCAGCATCACACCAGGCCAAAGTATACGATCTAGAAAATGCTTCTTTGTAACAAGGTTACCTTCTCCACATCTAGTCTCAAGCAAAGGATGTAGAAATTTAAATATTCAAAATGATAACCTGGGTGAGGAAGAGGAAGGGGGTGGCGGCGCAGAAGAGGTTGGAGTCTGCACCCGTATTCATTCACAATACCAGGAGAAAGAGTCCTTCAAAATCAGACACATCCTTTCCCACCAAGTCTCTGCCTAGCAGATAGTCAGTCTTCTGTGACTAGACGTCAGCAGAAGCTGGGTCTGTAAAGACCCAGCAAAGCAGCCTGGTGGTATCGCCAGGGGAAGGTATTGGGGGGACGGGGACTTCAGGAAAACTAATTGTAAAATCTTCCTGTGGACAATGGAAAGCTGCTCTGGGATTAATATATGCCTGGTGATGCCCTAAACACAATCCATCATTGATTTCTCCGCCCATGGGGGTGGCATCCTACAAGAAGTTCCTGGTTGCATACTTACTTACCCTTTCATGTTATGTAAATTTACCCTCAATTTGAAATGGCTGAACCAACCCCAACACATACTTCATCACATCTTGCAACGTTTAAATCAATGAGAAGGCGTCAACCTTCAAAGCCTTTTCTTGCACCAAATCTACTGCCATCAAGTCTAAGACAGAGGAGAATGGCCCCATAGAGTTTTCAAGGCAGCAATCTTTACAGAAGTAGACTGCCAACCTTTCTCTCCCGCACTGCACCTGGTGTGTTTACACTGCACCTGTTGTGTTTAAACCGCTGACCTTCTGCCTGACAGCCAAGATCTCTAACAACTACACCAGGGTCCCTCCCTTTGTTGCACTAAAGGCAGGCTTGAATAAGAATCCTTTGTACTTGGTTCAGATTTACCTGCAAATTTGACTTGAAGACATACTTCAGAATGGATCTCATTTGTAATCTGGGGACTACCTGCATGTGTTTGGTGGGGAGAATTCTTCTTTGTGTCAAAATTGACCATAAAAAGTATTTAGGGCCGAACCAAGTTCTGGGAGTCTGATCCAAGCATTTTGCAGCTTCACTATTTCTAGACAGGCTAGCACTCTCGTTAAGAGGACTAGGCATTCTTCAATCGGGGTCCTCCTCTTAAAAGTCTGACTGCTTCCCCACCCAACTCCCCTCTCCCACGACTGTCCTCCCCCTTTCCCTCGATAACACAGACTGTTAAGATACAAGGTCACCCAACTTCACTGTCCAGCAATGCAGCAGCAAGGTCTGGGCATGGGACCGACTTCTTGCCAATGAAGTATGAGCAGATGGGACAAATGCTCTTTCCAGGTCTTGGTCTTAAAACACTGAACACCACACGTGGGCACAGTGGGCTGCGGATGGTAGAGAGACCCCCACCAGCCTTGTTTGGGGTCTTCCTCTTTTTAACTGACCCTCCACGTTAGCCAGCATGATGTACTTCCCCAGGAATAGGTGCTTTCTGACAGTGTGTCCAAAGTCCATCCTTACTTCTAAAGATCACGCTGTCTGTGCTTTACTGCACACACATTCTTCTGGCAGTCCATGGTACTTTCAGTCATCTTCTCTTAACACCATAACTCAAACGCATCAATTCTTCTACAGTCTTCCTTAGTCAATGTCCAACTTTCACATGCACGAGTCTACTGAAAAATACCATGGCTTGGGTCAGGTGCACCTTAGTCCTCAAGCTGACATTTTTGTTTGGTATCATGGTTCCTTGTTGTTCTTAGGTGCCATCAAGTTGATTCTAACTCAGAGACTCTGTATAGGGTTTCTGAGGAGTGGCTGACGCCACACTCTGAAAATAATCCTAATCAGTTTCCAAAAATAATTCTTTGATCCCCTTGCTAAAGTGTGCCCTCTTTTCTGAACAAGATATAAAATGGAGAAAGGCACACCAGTGTCACAGGAGGCTCAAGGCCTGGACCACACCAGTTATAAAATGGAGAAAGGCACAGCAGTGTCACAGGAGGTAAAGGGCCTGGACCACACCAGTTATAAAATGGAGAAAGGCACA